AAAATTATAGATTAATTATTGATTAATTAATTTATTATTTTTATTTGAACTTTTATACTTTATTCAGGTGATTTAGGTGATCTTTGATAGGAGTTGTATTGAATGATTGAAAAAGGAAGTTAGAAGTTTAATTTTTGGTTTTATTTATTTATTAATATATTTATGAAATAATAATTAAATTTTTATTATAAAATTATAGATTAATTATTGATTAATTTATTTATTATTTTTTTGTTTTATTTAATTTAAACTCTTATACTTTATTCAGTGGATTCAGTTTTTTGGCGTAGTTATAGTTACGCGTTTATCTTACAACATTATCAAATAAAGTTACTTAATTTTAATATATATATATATTTTTTTTATAAACAAATTGGTATATAATACCTGTTGAATATAAAAATTTATTTCAAATACGATACACAACTCAAATTCTTTATCATTTTTTTACTACTTTATTTTTATATTCTTCATTAAACGAAATGATGCGTACGTGTGTGTATCTTTCTTCTTTACTTGTTTTGCTTGAAAGTATTTTACGTGAACGAAATAAAAGATAAAAATATATGTATATATATATATATATCAAAGAGTAATATAGTATATAAGTATCGATGATACTATCATCGTTTATAGGTGTTCTCGTGATGTAAATTAGAAAATTGCGAGCAAGCCGCGAATATCGCATAAATAATAGTGTCACCTTAGGTGGGTAGGTGGTAGGACCCCGATGTAGTAAAATCAGTATAGCTCAGCGTGTTTTAACGATGCATTATGAGATTATAAGCTCAACGTGGTTATAAGTTTGACCTCGTTAACGTGACATCATTCTAAACTGTTTTACCGTCGTCGTGGAGAGAAGCCCTGGTAAATTACCGCAAAACTCCTCCTCCTCCTTCTCCTCCTTCTTCTTCTTCGTTGCTACTTATATAAAATTTTAAGGGTACACACATATGCATATATAATTAAGAACATATAAATATTCTTTCACAAAAAAAAATAATAATATAATTAATAACATCAAAGATGAAGGAGTAGAAGAATTAAGATTGGTTTTGACGATTGTTTTGATGTTCACATTTGAGGATTATCAAATAATTAATTAAACTTATTTTACTTTTGCAACTAAAAATTTAATACTATTTATTAAATATCAAAAATTAATATATTTAAATTTAATTTAAAATAAAATAAACGTCTACAACTAAAAATGTAATACTATTTATTAAATACCAAAAATTAATAAATTATAATTAAATTTAGAATAAAATAAAATTTAAATAATAAAAACCCTTATAAGAACATACACCCATATACAACGAGTTAATAAATAAAATATGTGATATAATTAATTGAACATTTTACTTGTACAATTATTATATTGTTATTTGTGTTATATTTGCATTATCTTATGATTTTAATGATAATAATTATAGACGGAACCAGGTAGAAGAAAGGAAACGTTTAATATGCGAGGCAGAACGAGAAAGGCGGGAAGCAATCCTACGAAAAAATCAAGAAAGGGAGGCACGTATCGAAGCAAAGAAGAAAAATGAAAGATCCCACATAGTTTTTGCGTTTGGCAGTTCGACACCGAGGATGTTGGAACCAGCCGATACAGGTGGTTCTACCTTCTGGGGTACGCGAAGGGCCACTTCAACTACCAACGTCATGATGTTTTCAGCTGCTCAACCTTTGACCAGGAGATCATCCGAAAGGGAATTAGATGGCAGCAAGAAACGTGCTACTTCTGCTGGTGGATTGGACAGAAAACCCGGTGAAGGTGAGCTAATTAAATTAATTATTTTATTTTACGCACGCAACAGATTTTCTTTTTTTTTTTTTTTATATACATATTTCGTACACTTTTATATGAAGTATTCGAAATAATTATTATGAAATATTCAAGTTAAATATATATATTTTGTTTATTATTATTTTTTTTTTGTTTCTTATGGAATTTATCAACAAATTATGCAGTTACAATTGACGGACAAATATTTGTAACAACGTTGATGAAATGTGAAATTTCTTTTTTTTTTTTTTTTAAATTATGCATTTGCAATTTACGGACAAATATTTGCGACAATGTCGAAGAAACTTACCTTTCCTAATTTTTTTTTTCTTTTTTCTGTCGTGAAATATCGTTTAATAATAAAAATTCATATTTTGGAAACATATGTTTTTTTTATTTTTTTATTATTATCAATTATTAAATATTCTTTGATTGTTTGTAAGTCAAATTAGAAGTTTTAAGTATGATCGATCAACTGAACTTTTTAATATTCGTTCATTTGAAATGAAACTAATCCAATTGACAATAATAACCATCACATACGCGAAAAATACAAGCGTGACGATAAAAAAAAAAAAAAATTTAAAGGATTCTATCTTACGGATCGAAACATTTAATTTTGATAGTGAAATTAATGAAATAAATTGTAATCAATATTATTAAAAAAAAAAAAAAAAAAAAAAATATACATGGCATACACACGTATTAAACACAAATCGTTATATATTTATAATCAATGTTTTGTATGCAAGAATGTTGTCTCTATCTGTGCTCTAGTTTCTAGAAACAAGTGTTTTGTTATTATAATACAATCGTATTTTCTCGGTTAGATACAGCGACTATATACTATACTGTGTATTATTATTTTCTATAAATAAAATCAATCAATTCGCGTTGTTAATTCAATGAACATTTTTCTTATTCAACAATTTGTTTTTTTTTTTTGAGGGGAAAAATTCGTTTCTTATCAAGTCGCTGGATCTTTCGTAAAATTCGAAGACACAACAAGAACAAAAATACAATAAATAATTCAATAAATAAATATAACTTTTTACATTAGTGTCGCTTTAATATTAGTCAGTGCTTTTTAATTATTATACTCGTCGTCTTCGTTTTGATCTTCGTTTTGATCTTCGTTTTCATTTTTGTCTTCTTCGTCGTCGTCGTCGTCGTCGTCGTCGTCGTCGTCGTTCGCTTGTAGAAAACTTTCTATCGTTTCTTATTCTATTTTATTTTTTCTATTTAGAAATTCCACATACGAATCCTGCATCGCGTTACGCATGTATTTACAAGTTTACTACACACGCACTTTACAATTCGTTTAGAATACACTAATGGAAAGTAATAGAATAAATCGTATCATCATTTGTTCACGATTTTTTTTTTCATTTCAATCGTTATAGTTTTATTATTCTTAATATCACAGATATATTATATATGAGAAAGTTTTAATTAAAAAAAAAAAAACAAATAAAATAATATTCATATCACTATCAATCGTAAATGTAACAAACAAAATCCGCAAGGAATGAATTCGATCATGTCTATCGCTTTAAATCGCAAGTTTGTTGATTGGAACACGCTTTTATTAGATGCAAACATTTGTTCGTTTCATTTTTTTTTTTTTTAAATCATTTTTATTTTTTATTTTTATTTTTTATTTTATTTTATTTTATTGAATTCTTAATCAACTTCTTTTACAAAGTTTCACGTTATCACGCTTATATACAATATTTATCAAAGAATAAACAACAGCACACAGTTTGTTTCATTTGTTTAAATTGTATTCACGTTGCTTGATTTTTAAATGATTTGACAAGGGAATCGGTAATTAGATATTTTTTTTTTTAATTATTGGTTTATGGTATAATTAGCTGATTAGAATAATTCAATCCAACAACGTTTCAATTTTTGTCAGAAATTTTACTACAAGTGTACACCGATTTATATATTTTTTTTCTTTAATTATTTTTATGAACATTTTCTTCGTTATAATAGAGTAATTAAATTTTTAAAAAAATATATTTTTGTTTTTAATTTTTATAGTTTTTTTTTTTTTTTTTTATTTCATATTGGTATATTTAATATTAACTGATTAGAACAATTCAATCCAACATCAGTCAAACTTTTGTCACAAACTTTACTATACGTGCATAATTATTTATATTTTTTTTTTCTATAATTATTTTCATTAACTTTTTCTTCGTTATAATTAATTAAACGTAATTAAAGTTTGAAAAAATAAAAATGACAAATAAAAATATATTAATYAATTAATATTATTATTGAAATATATTCGAATATAGCTTCTCACGATCCACCTTAGTTGTGTTTCACTTACAAACACACACACATGTATAATACGTACGTATAGATTTCTAATGGAAAAGTGTGTTAGAYTTATTATTATTATTTCTAATACGATAAATATCGTGCGAACGTGAACACGACTTCTATTCGATAAAAAAAAAAAAAAAACAACTGAACGATTATTTCCGCGTTGTTTCAAAGATACCATTCGCATTCCATTTCTTCTAAGAAAGACTTGAGGTTAAAGATTAGAAAATAATATGACGAAGAAATGATGTGAAACCTTTTTTTTTTTTTTTTATTATATATCACTATGTTCTTACACCATTCATTATACACATGTTTATAATAATTCATACATAAAATAAATGCATACCACACATGTGTTAAACGTTTCTAAAATATATTTTTCTCTTTCTTTTTCTTTTTCAATTTTTATGTATAGTCGTGATTAGTATTTTTTCGATTTCAATATATAATTACGAAACATAATTTTAAATATAGTTTAAACTATGAATTTAGTTGTAGAAGTTAGAAATGTTTGGTTATAAAACAATCTAAGGATTGTGACAAGTATAATTGAAGTAAACCAGATCAGATTAATAACAGTCCTTTCCCTAAGGTAAAGTAAAAGAAAGAAAATGGTGTTGTAATGGTTTTATCATACCTACGAGAGAAACTAAACTTTTTACGATTTTTATTTTTATGTTTATTTTTTTCCCCTCTTATAAATAATTTTCTTTCAAGCAATACGATCTCTCACATATTTGTTTTATTAGAATAATAAATATTTCTTTCACATTATTTGAATTTAAAAAAAAAAAAAAAAAAAGTATGATGAATCATTAGAAATGAAACAATTAATTAACAACAAATTATACAATAATTTATTTCATTTATATTTTTTGTTAAAAGTGCTGATTAGTTTGATGATTATACTCAGTCAGCCAGTTAGATGAATAATTAATTTATGCGTTTAGAGTTTCTCATGAAAATTTTGTTTCTACAACACACCTTCTTCCTAAGCTAAGAGATTGGTCCCCTTCCCCCACCCTAGTTCAAAGTTTAGACATACATATGGGACGTTGTAACAAGATGAGAGGTTGAGTAGTTCGCATAATTGTTTCGTAAACGTTTCCCAGCCTAATGCAGGAAGAACATATTCTTTTCTTTAAAAAAAAAAAAAAAGATTTATGCGAAATGATAAATCGTTTAAGGAAACCTTAAGAAAAAAAAAAGAAAGAAATGGTATAATAATTAACGATATATGTTAAAAGCTTTAGCGGATTTACAATCTTCTCATGCTAATATTGCCTTTATTCAATACACTTATATTCATTTGGTGGTGATGGTTTTTACGATTTACAACGTAATACGTCAATTATTTTTTTATTTTTTATTTTATATATATATATATATATAATGTAATGCATAAAAAGAAAAAAAATATTTGGACAGTGTGGTCAATTTTTGTGATTTTATATTTTGTTTACCTAAGTAATCACTTTAATGTTTTTTTTTAATTATAATAT